GTAGACGGGACGTTTATTTACACCAAATATTCTTGATTTTGAAACGAATCCATTAGTCACAAGAATATACTGATACCCACCACAGGCAGGTAGAGTGAAAGATACGCAAGCAGAAAGAACCCGTATGCTTCTGTGTTACGGTTCAAGAGCCTCTTCTCCACATTCCTGTGTTGAATTCCTAACCCCACGGCCTCAGAATGTGACAGTATTTGGAGACAGGGCCTTTAAAAATCGATAGTAAAATGAGGCCATATGGGTGGGCCCTAGTCCCATAGAACTAGTGTTCTTATCAGAAGAGGTGATGGGGACACAGACACACAGAGGGACGACCACATGAGGACACAGGGCGAAGGTGGCCTCCATGAGCTCAGGAGAGAGTCCTCAGAAGCCACCCCTGCCGGCCCCTTGATCTCAGACTTCAGCCTCCAGAACTGTGAACAATCCACTGCATAAACTGGACGCCCCCTCACCTGTGGCAGTTGTTCCAGCAAATGAACACGCTCTTCCATTTCCAAAATACTCCTTAGCTCCTCAAAGCAACCCTCCAGCCTCACCTTGCCCAGGAAAGCCAAGCCGGAGGAAGGCCGGGTGTCTGCCCCGCCTCAGAGCACGCCTCTGAGAATGACGCGGGCCTCACTGTCCTGTTTTTGACAAGGAAATCAGGGTTCAGAAGGATGGAGTCACTCACTCAAAGTCACACAGCCTGCCGAAGTCCTTGGTTTCTGACCCTGTGTGCTCTTTTGGAAGCTCTGCCCTCACGGGGGGAAGAGTGTGAAAGTACAGGAGTCCCCCCTTAACCACGAGGAACACGTCCCAGCACCCCCAAACTACTAGACGCTCCAAACTGCAGACAATGCCAGACCCCGTATGCACCGTGTTTGTTCCTAGTCGGACGTATCTATGATACAGTTTAATTTATGAATTAGGCACAGTAAGAAATTAACACAAAGAATAATAAAATAGAAAATTATAACAATATACTAATAACATTTCTGTGAATGTGACTTCCCTCTCTCCCTCTTTCTCAAAATATCTTATTGCATGCAGCATTCTGGGACCGCAGTTGACCACTGGTAACTGAAACTTTAGATAAAGGACCATTGCTGTAGACAAAACAGATCGCAGCAGCAAAAAGAGAACAAAGATCTGAGCGGCAGAGCTGGAGGCCTGAGCCAGGGAGGTATGGCAGAGGCCAGGGAAGCCCGGCTGGGGACTCGGCGGGAATCAAGGTCTCTGAAGGCCCTTCCCTGGGGTTATGAAAGCGCTAATGAGAGCGAACATTTCTGAGCATTTGGCGTAAGACAGGCATGCTGGTGAACGCCTCCTGTGTGCTGCTTTCTCTAAACCTCGCAGCAAGCCTGTGAGGCAGGTGACATCATTGTACCCATTGCACAGATGAGGAAACTGAGGCTCAGAGAAGTGAAGCAGAGTCTCCGAGGCCAAACATCCCAGAAGAGCAAGCGCCTGATGTTGAAAGTTGTGACTCACAGACGCTGCTGCTGCCCACTTCACAGCAATGCCATGGTGTGTGCTGGCTCTGGAACGGACACCAGCTTCTTCACAGGCAAGGAGAGGTCTGGGGTTCCCAGACCTGGGCTGTCCCTCTCATCAGAGCTCTGGGCGTCTGGACAGCGATCGTATGCCCCGATGGCTCAGGCATGGTCCCCCAGTAATGTCCTCATGTGTGCAGACATGGTTGGGAGAAGGCCGACTCCACACCGTAAAATACCCTCCTTCCCACTAGGAAGGCAAAGTCCCAGAGCAGGAAATGCTGCCTTAGTCCACACATGCGCTCTCTGCCTCCTCTCTCCATCTCTCTTACCCCACACACTCACATTTCACTTTCTGGCTGGGAACTGGCCGGGCTCCCCATCCTGTATACACATACATAGGCCAGAACAAGAATATACCAGGACACGGGTTCGGCTCGCGGCACGACTCGGGCAAGTGCGCCCCCTCGTGGAGAAACTCTCCCTCGCCCTTCAAGACCTTCACCAGCCTCACCTCTCCCAGGAACACCAACCAAGCTGGAGGAGAGTCAGGTGTTTGCCTTGCTTGAGAACGTACCTCTGAGAATGTGCTGGTCTTGTGGGTTTCTTTTCTGATTTCCGCAGGTTGTCACTTGCGTGGCAGAGCTGGAAAACGCCATAGGCAGCTGCCGGTCCTGCAGTTTCAGGACCTGAACGTGGCCCCCAGTGCTTGGAGCTGGCCCTGCTGGGATGGAGTGCTTCCAGCCTCACACAGCCCTGCCCCGTGGTTCTCAATCCCGGGTGGATATCAGCACCAGCTGGGGCCGTTTAAAGACTGCTGAGGCTCTGGATAAAGCATGCTCACCTGGAACCCCGGCACGGGCACTCTTCACTATGCCTCCCCGACCCGGTTCCACACAAGGTGATTCTAGGGAGTAATGAGGGCTGAGAGCTGCACTGGAAGAAATGCCTGCATTGGAATCACTCGGGGCGCTTATAAAACAGGACGTTTCCAGATCCAGACTTCAACCCACTGAATCAGAATCTCTGTGGTAGGGGGAGAGGCTGAAAGACCTGAAATTTATTTTATTATTTATTTTTATTTTTCGAGACTGAGTTTCGATTTTGTTGCCCAGGCTGGAGTGCAGTGGCACGATCTTGGCTCACTGCAGCCTCCACCTCCCCGGTTTAAGTGATTCTCGTGCCTCACCCTCCCGAGTAGCTGGGATTACAGGCACCTGCCACCACACCCAGCTAATTATTGTATTTTTAGTAGAGACAGGGTTTCACCATGTTGGCCAGCCTGGTCTCGAACTTCTGACCTCTGGTGTTCCACCCGCCTCTGCCTCCCAAAGTGCTGGGATTACAGGCACAAGCCACCACGCCCAGCCTGCATTTTAAAACAAAAACCCGAGGTGACGTTGGTGAAGCACTAGGTGACTCTTTAATCTTTAGGGGATGACACTGGGGTCCAGGGAGGTGAGGGGACAGTCCCAAGCCTTGCAGCTTGAGGACAGCTCCCGAGTCATGGGAGCCACTTCACCGGGCCCGTGGGGGGGCTGAGAGGTGCTGCTCCGGCCTACGGTCCCTGCTCATGAGAGGAAGGAAGGGCTCATTCCTCATCCTGTGATCTTAGCTCCCTCCTCAGCCCCACCCTGCAGGAGCCCCAGCATGTGAGCCTGGCCCTCCCATTCACAAACCCCAGCGGCCCCCACTGGCAGGAGCGGTAACCCTGCTGTCCCACACTCCTGTTTACCCCCCACCAGCCACGTACCCTGGGACCAGGTTCTTGGCCAGGCAGTTTCCTCCTTCCAGCAACCTGGTGTGACCAAGTCCTGGAGGAGGTCAGAGGCCCCACAGTTTCTGGAGCCTCCACTGTCTGGGACAACAGAGTTCCCCCCTCTCGGTTCCTCCGCCTCCAGCATTCTGGCGCAGCTGGGGGACACCTGTTTCCCTGGTTCCTCAGCGGGGCTCCAGGCCTGCCCCTGCCTGCCCCTGCAGACCCCTTCCGAAAGTGCTGTGTTCTCCTGCCCAGCGCTTGCCTATGGCCAGTGGTGGCTGTGAGGGCCAAGAACTGGCTGAGAGAAGCCTGGTGGCATAGAGTCTGTGGGTTTCCTCATCTGCAGAAACGGCTTCATGGTAACCATGGTGACGCTCCCACCTCGGGCTGCTGGAGAATCCAGAGACTGTAGATGAACAGCTATGTGGACTGCATCCTTCCTGGCTGATGGCTGTCACCAGCACCTCTGCAGGGACTGCCCCCTCTCCAGGGTTCTCCCACCAAGGCCCCACTCTCATCCTGTGCTGCCCGAGCCTGCAGCTCGCCTCCACCTCCACCCCCATCCTGCTGCATGTGAGCTGTGTGAGCGCTTTGTGCCTCAGTTTCCACCTCGGTACTCGGGGTGGCAAGAGTCCTGCCTCGGGGCGTTCTCACAGTCAGAGGAGTCAACACTGACAAGTCGTTTGCCAAGGGTTCAAGGGGAAGGAAGGGGGTGCACAGGTGGGGCCAGGGGGCTTTCAACCAGTGGGCCCAGAACGGTGGGTACAAGTCTCTGCTTTCGTCTACACCCATGGCATGTACGACACTGCAGCGAGAACCCGGATGAAGAGGTGGGCTCCGGTCAATGACATTGTGTCAGTATTGGCTCATCAGTGGTGACAAATGCGCCACCACCGCCAGATGTTAGTAACAGGGGCATGGGCGGGTTATGGAGACTACTTCCTTTTTTTTTTCTTCTGTAAACCTGAACTGCTCAAATAAAAACTGGATCCATTAAAAACAAAACGAAAACAAGCAAAGTGAAGAGCCTCCATGCAGTGGGAGCCGCGCTTCGACGCCCCACGGTCACCCGATCCTCGTTCGCGCACCTGGCCTTGGGGGCTGGGCTCTCATGCTGGCCGCCCCCAAACCGCCGCCTCCCAGCGTCAGCTCCGGGCTTTGCCCCCCACAGCGCTCCCGGCGGGGCCCGGGCCACGGATTTATGAGGCCACAGCGCCCCCTGCTGACCCCGCTCGAGCTCCCGGAGCCCAGGCCACGCGGGACCCCCCGGCTGCGCCACGCGTGCGCCCCGTGCGCGTCCTGCACGCGATGTCCAGCCTGTCACGGTAACGACACGGAAATCTCGAACGCTCGTGACTTTATTATGGGAAAGCTCCGCAGTGCCAGAGCGCAGCCTAGGCTGGGGCTGCCGCTGCTGGCATCGGATGGCGGGGTGGGGACCCAGTCCAGCTTCTGCAGCGGCGCAGGGCGGGGCCCTCGCAGGGCGCAGCGGCCTGGACGTGGCCACCGGCAGCGACTCCTCGATCAAGGCCCAGCACTGGAGCCTTATCAGTAGCTTACTAATCCCGAACACCTTCGGGGGCTAACTTAGTACTCCGGGTGCCCGTGCCAGGTCACTGACGCGGCCCTCTTTACAAATGGGGAGGCACAGAGAGGCCGCGTAACTCGCCTGAGGGCGCACAGCCGGGGAAGGAGTCCTTCCGGGCACCCCCCACCCCCACCCCACGCAGAGCTGCCTCTGCCCTCTGGTTTCCCGGTGCCTTCGCGGCCCGTCGGTGCTGGCACGGGAGCTGGAGGTCGTCCGCACAGTGGTGGGCACGGGGCGCCGGCGGGCGCGGGCTGGCTAGGGCTGAAGCTCGTACTGCCGCTCGGTGGCCGTGTAGAAGTCCTCCAGCACCGACTGCAGGAACTCGAAGGTGGGCCGCTCCTCGGGCCGGCTGCGCCAGCACTGGGCGATGACGCCGCGGTACAGCTCGGGAGGGCAGGTGTCGGGACGCGGCATGCGGTAACCGCGCTCCAGGTTGCGGATGACCTCGGGGTTGCTCATCCCTGCGGCAGAGGCAGAGGGGACCGCGAGCGGGGATGAGGGGCAGGGGTCCTCGGTGGGTGGGGGCCCTGAGCGGCCCGCGGGGCACAGTGGGCCCAGGCGGGGGACAGCAAGTGCCCACAGGCCCAGCCTCAGGGGACAATCGTTTTTATTGCTTGGGGAATGCCTAGGAAAGAGGCTGTAGATTTTCCCCTGCGTGCCGGGCAGGTCCTCTGTGGATGGAAGCCTCCCTGTCTTGATTACTGTGACTGCCAGGGACACAGCCAAGCCCATCACTCACGGGCAGCTGGCAGGTGCACAGAGCAGCAGGTGACCCAGAGCCTGCCTAGCTGCCCGGGCCAAGCGGTCCAGCCCTTCTGACAGGGGCTGGGGGCTGACGTCCACGATTCTGCCCACTCAGGATGGGGCTTTTGGAATCTACTATGGGTGTGATGCCAAGGTAGGCACAACCTGTCCTCAACTGAGAACAGACCACTGAGAGTAACTCTGAATTCGGGTGTACCCTTTGTCTTGATTCCAGTTTGTGGGGCTCATGACCTTTGCTGGAGGAAGGAGACACAGCCCTGTGGCCTGGAGCAATAGTGATGCAGGGGCCAGAGCTCCACCCCAGATGCCACACCTGGGGCTCCGTCCCCACCCTGGGACTCACTGAAAAGAAGGGGGCAGCCACAGGCATGAGGACAGGACCTGCCATCAGAGCCGACAGGGAAAGCAGGAAGCTCACGAGAGCTGCAGAGCGAGCCGCCTACCTGGATATGGCACCCGCCCGTAAGTGACGACTTCCATCAGGAGGACTCCAAATGACCACACGTCTGCTTTGATGGTGAAGACCCCGAAGTGGATGGCTTCTGGGGCAGTCCACTTGATGGGAAACTTGGCCCCTGCAGGAAAAGCCATGCACAGCTTTGGGAGGCCACGCCTGCACCCTCGCCCCTGCCCCTGCTCCTGCTGTCCTTCCCTCAGTCCCCCACTGTGGGGCCTCGCAGGACAGACACGGTGGGGGAGCCACTGCCGCACACTAGGACGCATGCCAGGTGAGTGCAGAGGCATCTGCAGCACAGAAGGACCCTATGGACACCAGTACCACGCAGTCACCCACTTTGGTTCTTTAAAAAGACAGTGAGTGCCCTCAATGGGCAGCCACCACATTTCCACCTGGGATGGAAGGGGCGTGTTCTGCCTCACAGGGGCCTTGATGAATAAACAAAGCACAGCCTGGGTGAGCCATTCAAAGCTGGTGGAGCCTCCATGAGTCCCTTCCTGCCAAATGGAAACGGTGACCCTGGTACCTGGGAGGCCGCTGCGAGGAAGGACTCACATCTGGCCACCCTGTGAAGCCCGAGGTGGCTGGGCCTGGCCAGCATTTGCAGCAGGCCTCAGGCTCTGGCATTTCATGGCCTCCCCTGGCCTCCTGTTCTTGGTCTCCCCAGCCAGAGTTCCCGAGAGAGCAAGCCATATCCTGTCTGCTTGTCACTCGTACGCTAAGCGAATACAGCTTGCTTGCTTGATAAATGTGTGTGATCACTTCAGATTCTCTCGTGAAGGAGATTTCCACCTCAGTTACAGTCACAGAGTAAGACAGAGGGCTCTGTGGAGCCGCTGATTCAGAAGGCTTGCTGCTCACGCACGAGAGCCGTGTTTCCCACAGTGTGCTCTGGGAAAGCCTACTTCTGTGGAAGGTTAATAGGTGCTACATAAAAATAGTATCTGGGACTGGGCACAGTGGCTCACGCCTGTATCCCAGCACTTTCGGAGGCCAAGGCAGGCGGATCACCTGAGGTCAAGAGTTCAAGACCAGCCTGGCCAACATGATGAAGCCCCGTCTCTACTAAAAATACAAAAATTAACCAGGCGTAGTGGCACTTGCCTGTAATCTCAACTACTTGGGAGGCTGAGGCAGGAGAATTGCTTGAACCCAGGAGGCAGAGGCTGTAGTGAGCCAAGATTGTGCCACTGCACTCCAGCCTGAGTGACAGAGACTCCATCTCGAAAAAAAAAAAAAAGTATTTGGAGCTCAAATTAGTTTGGAAGTCACTAGGTGAGGCAAATATAAATGGTTCCTTTGCTGCAGGACTTCTCAGTGCCTTTAATATGTTGACGTACACTGGGAATCTCCAAGGCAGGGAGGGGGTGGACTACTGTTTCTCCAAACCTACCTTATCCGAAAGCTGGTCCTCCGTGGGAGGTCTTGGGGCACTACTATGCTGCTGAACACATTGGGCAAGTGAAAGAAATGCTGATGTAGAGTTGTGGAAACCGTCTAGCCCTCGGGTGTCTTCCCTCAGGGCTGTGCTGGGAGGAATTAAGGGGGCCTTGGCGGGCTGGGGAAGGTAAGGGCTCAGGTTTCCCTCGTGATTGGGGGCTGTGCTCACCCTCCTGGGCCATGTATTCACTGTCGATGATCCGAGCCAAGCCAAAATCAGCAATCTTGCAGCACAAGGTCTCAGACACCAGGATGTTAGCCGCCCGCAGGTCGCGGTGGATGGAATTCATGCGCTCGATGTACGCCATCCCTTCAGCAATCTGAGGGGACAGGCACACGGTGAAGGACATTGTCCTGTGGAGGCCCCTGATATGGGGCCTCCGCACCAGGACCGAGCCCACCCTGCGGCCCCTGCACAGCCCCTGTGGGCTGCTGGGGAAGGAGCTGCTTCTTGGGCAGAGTAGAAAGTTGGCTGTGCTGCTCCTCAGCTGAATAAACCCCTCTCCTAGAAGCCCAGAACGGCAGCGCAGCGACGTGGGCATCAGAGAGACTGGGGCTACCTTTGTCCCCGCTCCTCATTTTCCCTCAACACAGCTGTGTCCAAGGTCTGCAGAGATGGAAGGCAGAAGAACACAGACAGGAGAAAAGGAGAGGGAGGGAGAAAAGAAGAAAGGGAAGGAAGGAGATGGGGAGCAGGAGACAGGGAAAGGTGACTCTCCCCGGCTGGCTGGAAGCACAGCTCCTGGAGCTGGGAGCCCTCGGTTGGAGTCACTGACCTCAGGAAGCTGCTTCACCTCCCCGAGGGGCCACAGTCCTGACCTGGAACGTGAGGGATGTGGTCTTCAGGGTGCGGGGTTGAGGCAAGCATTAGATGAGGTGACTTATGACCGAGGACCTCACCCAACACCTGCCTCATGGGGGCACCCAGGGAGCATTGGCCGATCCGGGTGGACAGAGACCGTCAGGAAGACAAGCCTTGTCTCTCCTCCCCAGCTCACCAGCCTGGGCCAGGGATAGCAGCTTGTGCTGCTTGGTGCCTTGTAGCTGAGGAAACTAAGTCTTTATTCACTCAATCAATGGATGAAGAAACGAAGGCAGACAGAAAACAGCACATTTACCTCATCAGACTTTCGACTGCAAGAAGCCAGCACTAGAATTGATCCCATTTCTCCTTATGCTTGCATTTCATTGGTTTATCCACGAATCCATCCATCTATCCATGCATCCAACTCATCCTTCCATCCATCCATCCATCCATCCATTCATCCACCCACACATTCATCTGTCCATCTATGCATCCATCCATCCATCTACACATCCATCTGTCCATCCATCCATCCATCCATCCATCCATGCATGCCTCCATCCATTCATCCATCCATCCATCAATGCATCCATGCATCCATGTATCTACCCATCCTTCCATCCATTCCTCCATGCATCCATCCATCCATTCATCTATCCATGTATCATCCATGTATCCATTCATCCATGCATGCGTACATGCATCTATCCATGCATCCATCAATTCATCCATCCATCCATCATTCATCCATCCATGCATCCCTCCCTCCATCCATCCATGCATTCATCCATTCATCCATCCATCCATCCCTCTATCCATCTCATCCATGAATTCATCCATCCATCCATCCACTCATCCATCCACCCATCTATCCAACCGTCCATCTATCCCTTCATCTATCTATCTATCCATCCATCCATCCATTCATGCTTCCCTCCATGCATCCAGGCATATCTCCATCCATCCATGCATTCATCCATTCATCCATCCATCCATCCATCCATCCATCCATCCATCCATCCATGCATCCCTCCATCTATGCATCCATCCACCCATCCATGCATCCCTCCATCCATCCGTGCATCCATCCATCCATCCATCCATCCATCCATCCATGCATCCATCCATCCATCCATCCATTTATCCAACCAGCCATCCATTCATCCATGCATCCATCCATTCATCCACCCATTTATCCATCCATCCATGCATCCATGCATCCATCCATCCATCCATTTATCCACCCATTTATCCATCCATCCATGCATCCATCCATGCATCCATCCATCCCCTTGCTACACCATTCAATCAATGCACATTTATTAGTATGGGACTGTGGGGAATATAAAACTGAGTACTAAATATATCAGGGCAGCATCTAACAGCACTCATTCTGATAACTAATATTTATTGAGCAGTACCAGAAATATGTATTTAAAAAATGTTGGGTATGGCTCAGATCAGCTTTCACGAAGAAGCTGCCCAGATCTGCTTAGCAAGAACAATGCTTCTGGGAACACCTGAGCCAAGGGCTCTCTAGCAGTTTCTTGTCCAGGAAAACCTTTATAGAAATGACATTTCACTTAGGCTATGCATGATAAGGATTCTGCTGAGTGGAAAGAGTTCAAGGCTTCCTGGGCAAAGGAGACAGAGGGGTGGCTAGGCATGGGGCACGGGGACCAGGGCCATCTGGCCGCAAAGTGGGGCCTGTGGGATTGTGGTTGCAGGGGTCTTGTGGGGTTGGCCAGATCGGGCCTTGGGACTTTGCATTTCATCCTGTAGTGTAAGAAAAGAAGAGCCCGGAAGGGCAGGCCGTGTGTCTGCTCACGTGTGTGTGAGTCTGCATGTTTGTGTGTGTGTATGTGAGTCTGTTTGTGTGTTAATGTGTGAGTTTGCATGTTTGTGTGTGAGTTTGTGTGTATCTGAGTCTGTATGTTAATGTGTGAGTTTGTGTGTGTCAGTCTGTGTGTATGAGTCGGGGTGTGTGTGTGTGTGTGTGTGTGTGTGTGTGTGTGTGTGTGTGCGCGCGCGCGCCTGGAGAGCTATTGGCATGGTCAGCATGTGCTTAGAGGCTTCCTATCTGGGAGGTTCTGATTTTCTGACTCCTCACTCCCAGCTCTGTGACCACATCCAGGTATTAAACTCAGATGGGCTTTTCACATCCTTTGCCTCTGGTTCACCGGAGATTTCCCAAGGGGGTGTAGTGGAGACTGAATGAGAGACAGTGGAGGGTGAGGGAAAAGGAAAAAGAATCAGCGGGCAGGCTTATCGCTGGCCTGGGGTTTGAAGCCCATCACCAGCACTCATTTTCCAAAACCATCTCGCCAGCCTGCCCAGACAGCTCTCTGCCTACCTCAGTGGAAAAAGGCGTTGTGGCCTCAGTTCCTGCAGTGGGGCTCCTGGGTGAGTCTGGGGAGGGGGGAGGGCTGATGTGGGTGGTAGGCGGGAGGGTTTCCTCTCGGTGGCTGGCAGGTGTGTGTGGACCCATGTGTGTGCCTCACAGGCTGACCACAGACCAAAACGTTTCTGCTGAGAGTTCCAGTTTTAACAGGGCCACCAGATGTGCTTCCTGCCAGCTAGAGCTCTTGCCTCCACACCCTCGCCTCCACTCTGCTCTTCACCTCATGGAGTCCGGAAGGTTCTGCATGTGAATATGAGGGCCAGTCCAGGGTAGCCAAGGAGGCCCAGCACTCGTAATTCCCTGGTGGCAGAAGGAGGGGTGGTCCTCCAGGGCTCAGAGAAGTCACGTCCCTGGCACTTGTGTGTGGCCCAGGCCTGCCCATCCACCTGGGGTCGAGGGCTGGGCAAGTGCTGGGCAAGGGCTGAGGGCTCCTGGGGTGGAAGGCACGTTTTCAGTGACCTCCTACCAGAGACGTCTGTGGGTACCATCTAAGGAAGGGGTGAGGTCAACACAGAACACCCTGGCTGTGGGTCCAGTGGAACTCTTGCTGACCCTGTGTGTTCCCATGATGCCCATTCGCCCTCGCTTCCCTCGGAACAGAACAGCCTCATTCTATCACACCTGCCCGGGACGAAGGCTCCATGGCCCAGGCTCCCTCGCTGCTGCATGGGGCAGGAGGCACAGCAGCCCGGGCATACAGGTGCAAGTACAGTGGGTGACCTTGGGGACATGTGCCTAGAGGAAGGTGGCTTTCCGTGCCCGACTTCCCCTGCTGACTGAGGAGAGGATGGGGTGCTAAGACGTAAGTGGCCGTTGTCAGCAGAAAGTGACACCCTGAGATCCCAGCAGCTGGGAGAATGTGGAAGGGCTGCCCACCTCCGGATGTTCACACGTCTAAGCTCTTATAACTTCAGGCTTTCTCGTCCTCACGGTCCAGCCTAACTCTAACTGCCACAACCTCTGAACCATTGACATTGTTAAGCCGCAGGGCCGGGAGGAGGAGAGGGCCTCGGGAAGTCAGAGGGCACACGCCGCCCGCTCTGCACGGGGTCCTTCACCAACCTGGGCCGACATGTCGATCAGCCTCGGGAGTGACAATCCGTTCCCTTCATCCGTCTTCAAGAAATCCAGCAGGCATCCTAAGAAAAGAGAAGCTGCAAGTGGCCTTCTGCAAAGTGCCCATCCCGGCGGTGCCAGCCTCTCCCAGCGTGAGCGTTTCCCACGGGGGTGGGAAGTGGGAGTTTGCGCCCTCAGATCTCCATCAGGAAGGACCTACCTGCTGCTGTCGAGTGCCCTCCCCTTCACGAAATGCCAGGCTCGGCACCCAGGAGGCAGCGCATATACCAGCAGCTGCCAGCAGTTAGGTTTCAGCCAGGTGCAGAGACCTGCCTGAGGTCACCCGGCTGGGCGCTGGGAGGAGATGCCCCTTCTTGTCTTTTCGCCCATGTCAGCCTCGCTCCCTTGATCCCTGTTGGCAGACACGCTCTGCCTCTGAGGACCAGGCATCAGCAAGAAAGCACCGGAGGGAGAGCACGGCCCGCTGTGATTGGCGCAGGGGACAAATGCAGCTCCCTTGGAACTGGAGCGCTGGGAGGGATGAGTGCTTGCCCTAGGGGCAGGCCGGAGGTGCCCCCAGCACAGTCTGAGGCTGGGGCCCCCTTGGGGACAGTTGTTAGGGAGCTGTATTAGATGGGCACGTTAGGATCGTATAGGAGCAGTGTGCAGTCAGGGTCACAGGAGGGGTGAGAGGGTCAAAGGCTCAGCCCGATCCCAGGCCTCCTGCCCCGTGAGAATTTGGCCATGCTGGGGACCTCAGAAGGCCATCGAGCCCAACGTCTCTGGCCATCCTTGTAAAATATTCACACCGCTGTAAAAGGTTTCCCGACCAGGAAGCGGTAGACCTGGAGGTAGCACGGTCCCTGCGTGGCTGACCCGGGGCTCCTTTGACTTGGCCATGCTCTGTCCCTCCCAGCAGGCACCAAAGAGTGCTGGGCACAGAGGACGCACTCCAGAGATGCTGGCTGAACTGCTCCTGGGCGGAGACCGTGGCTCCGTCAGAACCACTTCGCCCTCCCGTTTCTCGCCCTCCCTCCGTCCCTCCAGGCCCCCACGCCACGCGTGCCCTAGGTCGGCAGGACGATCGCTAACGGCTCCCTGTGGAGACCCCCTGGCCTGGGGAACCCACTGCCGCCATCCCCCTCCTCCCGCGAAGGCCGCCCTCCTGCCTGGCTCTGAGGAGGCGGCTCTGCAGGCCCTACCTCTGGCCATGTACTCGGTGACAATGTAGATGGGCTCCTTGGTGACCACGGCGTACAGCCGGACCAGCCGCTCGTGCTGCAGGGTCTTCATCACGTGGGCCTCGCCCAGGAAGGCTTCTGGACTCATGGCTCCCTCCTTCAGCGTCTTGATGGCCACCTTCATGTTGTTTTTGTAGTAACCTGAGCCCGGGGAGGGAGAGAAGAAACCGCTCAGAAGACAGAGACCTTGCTTGGAGGCGATCTCTTAACCAAAATCGGGGTAATTGCCCAGGAGCCACCCCATTCCGGGTGCCAGAGCTGGAACGTGCAGCTCGGGAGGCCGTGGTTGCGAGGGGCCTACCTTGTGCTCCGGGCCCCTTCTGTATGGGGCCTCAGGCAATGGAGGACTGTACCCTGCTTGGGGTCCATTTCGCCTCTCTGCCCCACACCCAAGGACTGTGTTCGTCTGTCCTGCATGTAACCTGTCCCTTTCCCACCCCTCCCCTATGTATTGAGTCTCTTCTATCACACGGTGGCTCCTTGGTGAAAATGAGCACACAGCGGGGGGGGGGAAACCTGAGCAGGAGGAAGGGGAGTGGGGGTCTCCCTCCTTCTGAAGCCCCGTGGCGGACCTGTCCCAGTCCTTAAACTACCCGCATCTCCACACCCTCCCTGCACTCCAGGAAGTCCCCGTGCACCTTGAAGGGCCGAAGACAACTCTGCTCGCCTTTCTAGAGGATCTGGGACTTGCCAGGGACCTGGGTGCGGCTCCTGCCAAAGGCACCTTGGGTATCGGCCCCAGGCAACGGAGGACTCGTGGACCAGTCCAGGGATAAAATGCAACACGAGTTTCATATCCTGGTAGGCAGGGGATGCGGCAGGGTGTCAGCAGCGATGGGAATGTGAGGACCCCGGGCCTGGAGCTTCTGTGACTTGGCCGAAGTCCCACAGCTGCCCCAGCGTGTGCACCCAGACCCTGGAACCTCATGGCTCAGCACCTTGAACTTCCTGTTTCCATCTGGGTGATGGAAAGCTAAGGGGAGTTAGCGCCCTTGCAGCTCAACGAAAAAGCCAGGTGCAGGCAGAGAACGAGGGAGGGAGCGGCCCGGAGCTGGGAGAGCTGGGTTCTCTTCCTGCTCTGCCACCACCGTAAGTGACCCAGCTGTTACAACACAGCTCTGTGCCTCCTCCGGCTCCTGTGTAAAATGGGTGTCCCTGCCTCTGTCGTCGCTCCCTCCCAAGTCTTCCGGGGGAGGGACGACCCTCTATAAAAATATTGAAACTTCAGCCGTCCGCAGCCCCTTCTGGACTCAGGATGCAGTGTGGGTGGAATGTGGGGGAGAAAGACTCCCGCATGTGCACACACTTACCCATCCAGACGTCGCCAAATTGTCCAGACCCGAGTTTCCTGACCAGCTTGAGAGACTGCCGGGGGATTTCCCATTCATCCTGCGCCCAGGGGTTTTGCGGGGCCAGGCCCACACAGGGCAGGGTCAGCCTCTGGCAGAGACCATCCCCCTTCTCTGCATTAGGAAAGAAAAGACAGGGCTGGGGGTCACCAGAGCAGCCAGGCTCTCTTGGGAGCCGTGTCACTCCTAGCTGGACCCATCACTCCCCAGCCACCCCAACCCCCCTGCACGGGCACGTGCACACGCCTGCTCATGCACACACACTCAACTCTCTCTCTGTTTGCACAAAGCAGGGCATGCTATCTCTAAAACTGACCTGCTCACTCTAAGACTGAAAATACTTGCTGCTTTCTACGGGGTTCCCTGCTGAGCCAGGAGAGGGTGTTAGGACCACCAATTCATAGTGCTGAGACCTGTTACCTCCTTAGGTCTAGCTTTGGGATGCTCTTCCCTCCCCCCAAGGTGGCACCGGTGACCCACACAATTGGGGATCTTAGCGAGAGACACAGGGGCTCTTGGCACAAGCCCCCACCCGCACTGCACGCCCCGTCTTACTGGAATAGTGCTGCACCAGGGCCTGCAGCGAGGGGAAGGTGATCCGGGGGGAGATGTAGTAGCCCCCCTCATCCAGGGAGCGGATCTTATAGTGCTTGATCAGCTCCCCCTGGGCGGTGACATCCTTCACAGACAGAGAGAAGGCACCTACAGGGTTCACGGAGACACACGCACAAGGAGTGAGGCATGAAACACAGGACTGGGATTTGGGCCTCATCTTAAAGCTTGAAAAAAGTTCCCCAGTACTGTCCTCCACTGTCACTACTCCCACCGCAAGTTCCCTTGCCCTGCATCTCAACCTCCACGCTTTCGGAAGCCTTCCCCGTAAGCTCCGCCTGACTCTGACCTTGACATCCCCCCAGTGTCGCCCAGGGAATCAGCCGGGGGATCACAGTGCCCTGTGGCAGGCAGGACATTTTCTCAGTAATCATATGGGTCCTCACTTGGGCACCTGGTCACTCGAGACCCCTTTGCCAGGGACTATTGAGAAATCTAGTGTCGTTGGAGGGACTAGGAGCTTTATTTTCTGGCTAAGGAGGATGTCTCTTAATCCTACAGGCAGACAGCCAATCACAGCTGCAAGTACCCACGTCCATGGTGGAGAGCATAATGAGCTATTCCCAGGGGCTCTGTTCAAATTCATTTGCTGCCTGTTACATGAACCTATCATTTTGTCTTCTGGCTTAACGTTTGCCTGCGGGTAAGTGGCAACAGGTGTCAAGGGTTAAGGACAATTTAAGAGGTAAGAGTTTCCCGATGAGAAGCGTTTTCCCATGAGCTTGATGTTGTTATAAAATGCGGCCGTCCAGCTACCTGGGTACCAGGACCCCACCTTCCCCTCACCCATTATTTGGGAGATGGTGTCGCCGGGGCCCCGCAGGGTTCTCAGCAGGCCACTGGGGCTCTCAGTTCCCCGAGTCCGCGCCTAACAGGAGCAGTACCACGCCTCTCCGCCAGGGGTCAGGCGCGGAGTCTCATTCTTGGTGCTGACGTCGGTTTTCCGCGGTCCCGTTTGACTTCAGGCTCTTTCCTGTCCATTCCTCCACCTCGGCCCCTCCTCCCCTCCGGTTTCCCTCGGCTAGTGTGCCTCTCTCTCATCACCTACTTGCAAAAGGACGCCCAGAGGCGTGTGCCAGCCCAGCCCATGCCCCCAACCCGAGCCTCAGCCGGGATGCTGCAGGTTCTCTTCCCGCCCCTGCCCGGATGCAGCTGTGCCCCCAGTCTCTAAGGAACCCGAGCCTGGCCTTAGGGAGTTCATTAATCAAGGGCTTTCTCCCCATTTTGTAGGCTGCACCTGGGTCAGATGTCTCGGGTGACGAGCCCAGATGTTGGCCAAGCTCACTGACCTAAAGGCCACCCTCACTAACCTGGGCTGCACTGAGGCCCCGTTCCTGATGGCTTCTGACAATCTTATCTCATTCTTCAAGAGGACCTCAGATCCTATCAGCTTCAGGTTCACAAAACCTGGCCCCTCTGCCTCTGTAGTATGTCCGGACTGCCCCGGGCAAGCAGGGGCTGGCTCTGAGATGACGATTTCTCAGCACTGAAGGACGGCCTGACGCTGAGCTGGGAAGCCAGTCTGTCCTCACATAGACACCAATAAACTGAGGCTTGACAGGCTCAGGGACACCGTGGAGGCCGCAAGGGGTAGGACTCTCTCCCCTGCTTCCATCCCTGTCTTGAATCACTGCTGTTGCTCCCAGATACAGACGGGGCTTGCTTTGGAGTTGTGTATGTGTGCATACGTGTGTGTAAGATGCATACATATCCTGCCCCTTTCCCACCCCTCCCCTATGTAACGAGTCTCTTCTATCATACAATAATAGCTCCTTGATGAAAACAGGCACGCGGCTGGGGGTAACTGGGCAGGAGGAAGGGGCGTGGGTGCATATGTGCACATGTGTGCATGTGTGTGCATGCATGCATGTGTGTGTGCAAGTGCATGTGTTCATGTGTGTGTATGTGCATGTATATATGTGTATGTGTGTGCTTGTGTGTGCATGTCTGCATATGTGCATGTGTATGCATGGTGTGCACGCATGCCTGTGTATGCATGTGTATGAGTGTGTGCATGTATGCATGTGTGTGCACATGTGCATGTGTGCGTGCATGCATATGTGCATGTGTACATATGTGCATATGTCTGCATGGTGTGCACATGTGTGTATAAGTGCGTGCATGTATGCGTATGTGTGTGTATGTGCATGTGTATGCATGGTGTGCACACATGCTTGTGTATGCACATGTGTATATGAGCATGTGCGTGTGTGTGCGTGCATGTGTATGTGCATGTGGTGAGGTGATGATGGTTGAACAATCCTGCAGCCCTAGTCCCATCTGGCCAATTCCCAGCTTGGACTGGCTTCTTGGGGTGGATATGGACAGGAAAAGATGTAAGAGCCATAGAGAACCCCCTCTTCCTCCACACCAGATTGAGTGGGGGGTGGGGCTTTCACATCAGCGGGCACCTTAGCAATAGACAATGGTTGAAATATCATTTCTAGGGTGACATGACATGATGTTTCGGTTTTGCTTCAAAAGAACAGGGGTGAGCCGGGCGCGGTGGCTCAAGCCTGTAATCCCAGCACTTTGGGAGGCCGAGGCGGGTGGATCACGAGGTCGAGAGATCGAGACCATCCTGGTCAACATAGTGAAACCCCGTCTCTACTAAAAATACAAAAAACTAGTTGGGCGTGGTGGCGCGTGCCTGTAATCCCAGCTACTTAGGAGGCTGAGGCAGGAGAATTGCCTGAGCCCAGGAGGCGGAGGTTGCGGTGACCCGAGATCGCGCCATTGCACTCCAGCCTGGGTAACAAGGGCGAAACTCCGTCTCAAAAAAAAAAAAAAAAAAAAAAAGAACAGAGGTGGAGTGGGGGATGGAGATGAGACACGACTGGCTCAGGTGATAACTGTTGGAGCCAGGTGTTGGGTACCAGGGGTTCCACTGAACTATTTCCTCTACTTCTGTGTATGTTTGAAAGGCTCTGCAACAACAATCAATGTTTATGTCATCTCCAGTGACTCCCAAATTGTTTCTTGGACAGAGGTGCTCTGCCACAAAAACAGAATAGTGACAATATCCAATATGCACCTAAATATAAAATTTATATATCTATGTGTATGTATACGTATGTACATGTATATATAAAATGTTATGCAGGCATTAGTGCATTCCAAGAAATCCTGCACAGAGCACCCCAGTTTTCTAATGTACCCCTCCTGCTCCCCAACCTGGTCCTGGCTGTTAGTGGGCCTCACGATCTCCCCAGAGGGCCACAGGGTGCTATGACAGCTTTCCATGCTCTGCATTTCCACTCTCTGGCTGCTGTCCTTGAGCCACATATGAAATCAAGGGACAGCCCAAGGGTGCTCCCACCAGGCAACACCCCCATCCATTCTCATCGCCCCAACCACAGGGAACCAAACTCATATTCCAGTCACTCTCTCTTTTCTTCCCTCCTCTGATGTCACTGTCACCATCTCCTCTCCTGTTACAATTGGCTACAAAGCTGTAGCCGGTCCCTGTGGACAGCTTCCTGATGAGCAAAGCATTCTTCTGTTGTGTGGGAAGTTGTCAAATCTAGCTTGCCACATTGTAGAGCCTGGGAAGCCTCTCAGCCTCTTAGATGATGTGGCCACCGGTGCTCGGGCTCTGATGCTTATTGCTGGCCTCCAGCAAGTCATTTGCTGTTTCAGGGGCTTACTTTGCCCATCTGTCAAATGGATTAGTATTTTACAGATGAAAAGCTAGTGGCCAGTGAGCACCAGGGACCATAATAGGGTTCAATGCAACACATGCATTAACAGCCCCAGACTGGAAACAACCCAATGCCCACAGCATGAGAATGGCTAACTTGGCTCTGGAACGTTCACACCCAAGATTCTGTAGCAATGAACGTGAATAGGCTTGAATCTGTTACAGGCTGAATCATGTGTGCTCCCAATTCCTGTGTGAAAGTCCTAACCCTCAGTCCTGAGAATGTGGCCATATGTGGAGACAGGGCTTTAAAGGGGTGATTAAGGTAAAATGAGTTCGTATGGGTGGGCCCTAATCCAATGTGACAGTTGTCCTCCTAAGAAGAGATTAGGACACAGGCATGTACGGAGGGACGGCCGCAGGAGGATATGGGGAAGTCGGCCGTCTGCAAGCCGAAGAGAGAGGCCTCTGGAGGAGCCAATGCTGCCGACATCTTGGTCTTGGACTTCAAGCCTCCAGAGCTGGGACATAACAAACTTCTGTCGTGGAAGCCACCCAGTCTGTGCTACTTTGTTACAGCAGCCCAGGAAACTAACACAGAATCTCACAAACACTGCTGAGTGACAAGAGCAAGTCACACAGAAACAAACACAGTGATTCTAACTGCAGAAAGCTAAGAAACAGACCAGACCTGGTGGCAAAACCACAGAAAAGCGAGGCAGGGTTTCCACCCGAGTCAGGACAGCGGGGAGCTCCTGGGGGTGGGGGTTGAATCAGGGGGAGCCCGAGTCGGGAAGTGAGGGGCCTCCTGGTGGTCTGGGAGGCTCTATCTCTTGGCCACAGTTACACAGGGATTTGTGTATTATTACCGTATATAATTTAGAATCACGCACTCATACTTCATACAAGCTTTATATATGTTTTCTGTTTTACGCCAAAAAACATTAGGAAGGAAAGAAAGCAAATGACAGAGAAAGCGAGAAAACCCCTGAGGGTAGTGGCAGCAAAGTTTTGCTCAGTCATCAGTGGATTTGAACTCGTCAGTGTCTAGACTGGCATGGGCTCCCCACAATCACTACCCCTTCCCTTATGTCAGGCACAGGCCACGTCCTAACCTATGCTACCTGCAGCCTCTGGCTGAGATAATCTCCAAGGATTCTTTGAGCTCCCCCAATCCTTGATTCCAAAGTAGCTGGTGATTGAGAGCTAAGGGTTCCCCCTGTCCTGGCCCCCACTGGCCTTGGTGTTCCTGCTGACCAGGCAACATGGCCAGTCTGGCATAGGGCCACCCCCATCCACTGGCTTCCCATGCCCGGGTGGTTTCCAGCCAGGGACAGGGAGGACCGCTTTTGCGGACAGCCCCCACATCAACTCCCAGGCAAGGCCTGAACTGGGAGGGACACAGGCCTAGAAGCTGCTGGCTCTCCTGGCAGTCACCCCTTCCCCTCTCACTCCAGGGCCAGGCCTCTGCAGAGGGCCTCTCGGGATGCCCAGGGCAGGGAGGGCGGGCAAGGCCACCATGCCTACCTTTGTTGGTTTCACTCTCTCTGATGAGAAAGGAGCCGGCCTTGTTGACGGGAGCCAGAAGCTGCCTCTCGGCCTCCCTGCGGCTCAGTGATCTAAAGAACCATCCTGGAAAACAGCAGGAACTGGCGAACCTCAGAGCGGCCCTGCTCCTCGGAGTATCCCCACTGAGCGTCCCTCCTGAGCTGCCCACCCCCAAAAAATAAAGTAGCATTTCTGCTCCCAAGTCGGCCCTGAGCTGCTGCTCCCCACACCGGGATGGCGTCAGTGCCCTCTGTCCCCCTGCCCTTCCCGTCCTTCCTGTCAGCCCTGGACTCACTGTTTCCTGCAAGGAAACAAGGACATACGTGGGTGACCTTTGCTTATTTTGCTTTGGAAAAATGCACCTGCTCCCTCTCTCCAAAGCACAGCCGCGTATCCCAGGCACACGCCTGCCTCCTTGCTGTCCGAGCTCCGAAAGAGGCAAACTGCCGAGACTTGCTGAGCAGGGACCCCGGCATGTCCCCTTCAGTATGGGGTTGTTCTGTGGGGGAGAGCCCCACGGTTGCCCACACCATTCTGGGGAAAGACGCAGGGCCCACAGCGCCCAGAGAAGATTCACTGTTGCTGGGCCCCAGTCCTCAGGCAGAGCTGGGCCCTGTGAATGAATTTGTGGGGGCCCTGGCTGGCCGAGTCCGACATTCCCACTGCCATGGGGACATGGGGGAGGAGAGTCTGCAGGATTAGAAGGTTGGGATCCTGCTCTCCTGTTAGTCGGTTCTGAACAAGCCACCCGCCTGGGAGCCTCCGAGGCTGAGCCCTGGGTCCTGCCCGTGGAGGATACAGGGGAGGGTTTGTGGTCACAGTGCCTCCCTGTTAGCCAGCGAGGCCATCAGACACGGGGGACGGTTCCATCTACGGAAGCCAGGAGAAGGACCACTCTTGTTTAGCTTGGAAGAGTGGCCTGCTCAGTGTCACACAGCGGTCTGAATTTGTCATCTGGAGCCAGCAGAGAGGCCTTTCCAGCAGAGCTAATTTCCCGTCCCCTCTTTGCTGGTGCCCGCGGGCTCCCTAGTCAGTCCCATTCTGTCCCTGCCCTGCCTAGCAGCCCAGGGAGCAGAGACAGTGACCGCGCCTTGGCTCCAGGGGGCTTCCCGTGCCACCTACCTCTCCACTTCCAGGCTCTCCACTCGGGCCACGAAGTTGCTGGGCACATAGCCTTCTCTTCCTGTGACGAGCGACTTGGCCAGCCACCAGGCTCCAGTTCTAGCGGGAGCAGGGGAAACAGAGCTGTGATCATGGCCCCTATGGGCCCATCTCTGGGCGGCTCCCAGGCCTCCTCAATGGCACCTCTCCATGGAAGGCAGAGAATCCGCAGAGGTAGACAGCAGGGCAGGCGGGAAGGGGCTGTGCCCGCTGCTCTGTGGTATGGTGGGTATCTGGGTAAGCTCTGGGGGAGGAGTTTATCTATACAGCCTGACCAGCCCAAGAGGACCCAGGGCTCTGGCCAGCAGCCTTCCTCTTGATGAATGGGACGTGTTTGGAGCTTGGTGAGGGACTTGGGACAGGCTTGAGGAAGACACAGTCGGGTGGCCTGTATAGGATCAACAGTCAGGACTTTCATGAGATTGGCTCAAGGTCACTGCAGAACAAAATCAGACCCTCAGAGCTCCACGGGACAAGCCGGGTCACCCGGAAAGCAGACCTAAACAGAGTTTCTGAGAAGGACACAGAAATGAGCTAAAGGGGGATGGGCGTGTGTAATCCATGTGGATGCTCGCTTGAGAAGGAGATACATATGCACACGACTGACTTAAATGCAAGGCTCTCAAGGAAGAGCCAGAGCGGCCTGCATAAAGGACAAAGTTCACATGCCCGAAGGAGTCAGGAGGGCTGCACGGAGGTGGTAGCATGGAACGTGGGCTTTGAAGGACGGGCAGGAAGTTGTGAATCGAAACCGCTTCGCCAGAAAGACTCTGGAGAGGAGGACAAAAGGGCCAAGTTCAAGAAAATGCCAGGGCCGGGGATGGGGGCAGGGCAATGAGATGATGTCTGGGGTCAGCTATGGAGGATGCGGTGGGCAGAGGAGGGAGGGATGTGGCGGGAGTCCTGCAGGGACAGGGGACGGCATCTGGGAGCCTCACCCGTTCAGGACCTGTAGCTTCTCCCCCTTCAGCATCTGCAGGTCCCGGTCATTCACAGCGGCATAGTCATAGAGGGCCACCGCGAAATGCTTGTCTGAAAGGAACAAGGGAGAGTTGACCACCACCCGGGCCCCTGAGAGGGAGGGCGGGGCTGGAGTGAGCCTCTGACGGGAGCGACCTCTGCCTACCAAGAGGGACGGGCTTCTGCTTGCCCGTGCTGGAGATGATGTTCTCAACCAGAACAGGCCCCTACTCCTGCCTGTGACCCCCACCTGTGACCCCACCAGGACAGGCTGCCCCAAGAGCCCACCCTGTCCTCCTTTCTGGACCCACTAAGAAGCCCTATGGCCTGGGCAGGATGTGTGTGAGGGCGCTGATGGCCAGAGGTCAGCACAGGGAGGCAGCCACTACCGGGCTGGTGGCCTCGGGGCCACACCAGGAGCCAGTGCCGGCAGTCCCTCTTCTTATCCCACAGCGGGTCTCAGAGGCCTGTGAGCTCCTCTGGTCCTTTTCCTGCTCTGCCTCCTCCCGCCTCTATGCCCAAGAGGGGTGGTCTTGCCACGTGGCAGCCGGAGCCCTGGCCTCCCCACTGCCTGTGCCCCATGGACCCCCTGACTTGCTGGCGGGCCCTGGATGGAAGGGGCAAGAGGGCTCGGGAGCTTGGAGCTCCATCTTCAAATGAGTACTTCTGTGACGAGGGCTCTCTGCACAGCCCCGGGAGCCATGGGACCCACCTGGTGAAGGTCACCTGGAGAGCACTTAGCTTCTCCGGGTGAGGTAGCTGAGCTCTGTCACTGAGCTGAGGGGTGTGACCTCGGGCTGGTCACTTCTCAGCAGGAAAGAGGGGGTTGGAATAGGCGACAGCGGTTCCCTGCAGTTTTAAGATCCAAGTTCTGCTCACGAGTGTGACAGATTCTGAGCTTTCCCAGGGAAGGAGTTGCATCTACCCGTGTCACCCCTTCGCCATTCCTGGGACAGAGTCGTGCCCTGCGTGCTGAATGCCTGGTGCATGTGGCGTATGCAGGTTAATGGGTGCGACCCAGGCTGGCTGAGGAAGCCTTTCCCCATGCTGTGTGGGTGTGGATGATGAGGAGGCTGCGGGAGGTCACTGTGAACAAGGCAACCTCCTGGGAGCCCCTGAGAGTGGAGCCTCTGGCCCAGGAAGGCCAAGATGCTCATTCCCTACGGCATTCAGCAGGCCGGCCCACCAGAGCAGAAGTGGAGTCTGGGGACCGGGCACAGTGGCTCATGCCTGTAGTCCCAGCACTTTGGGCACTTTGGGAGGCTGAGATGGGCACATCACCTGAGATCAGGAGTACGAGACCAGTCTGACCAACATGGTGACACCTTGTCTCTACTAAAAACATAACAATTAGCTGGATGTGGTTGGGTGTACCTGTAATGCCAGCTACTTGGGAGGCTGAGGCAGGAGAATCACTTGATCCCGGGAGGTGGAGGCTGCAGTGAGCTGAGATCACATCACTGCACGCCAGCATGGGCAACAAGAGTAAGACCCTGTCTCAAAAAGGGGAAAAAAAAAAAAAAAAAGAAAAAGAAAAAAAAAAAAGGTGACATCTGGGGACCAGTGAGGGGCATGGGTGGTTAGGTGGTCAGCAGGGGACTGTCAAAGTGGCTGGGAGGCGGAAAAACAGGGCGCCCTCCACGGGGAGTGACCAGGGCTGGAGGCAAGGGCCTGAGCCACTGCCCAGCCTCTGAGTTTGGGAGTTAGACTCTCTGCAAGCTTGGGTTTGATGATGGTGTGTGTCTTCTCTGGGACCCTTGTTTTTGTTCTTGTTTACAGTTCGTAAAGTCTTTCGTTTTTTTAAAAGTCCCACCCAGGCTCAGGCAAACTAAAAAAATTGATGCTTGGTTCCTGAAGACACCCCCAAGAGGCGCGGAGCCTGGGCCCCGCTCAGCTTCCCCCGCTGTCTCTTCTCCAGCCCTCGAGCTGCTCCCGACTATTTCCTGCTCCAACTCCACAAGGCTGGAACCTGGAGGAGGGGGCCGCGGAGACTCAGCTTCCCACACCACCCCTCTTACCTTCGTCCGGGTGTTCCTCGGGCGGTGGAGGAGTAAGGTGGTTAAAGACAACCTTGGGTAGAAACCACGCATGAGTTATTTCAGTCCCTGCCGCAGGCGCGGGGCCCGGTGGGATGGCCGAGGCCGCTGAGCAGGCAGCCGGGGTATCTCCGGGGACCCACTGTGGGAGGAGAGGCAGCCGCCCGTGGGGGCTGCACAGGGAAATTCGGACCCCGGGACCAGCACCACCCTCAGATAGACCCCCGCTCTCTGCTGCCTTCGCCCTGACCGTGTGGGGGACCCCCCAGGGTGGACAAGAGGTAGCTGTGGAGAATGAGGGGAAGCCCAATCACTTGGGCTTAACATTCTGGCTCTTCACTAAAAGAGCAAACTGAAAATGGGTATTTGTGGGCAAGAAAAGATATTTCAGAAGCATATTTCCCCAAAACTCAACAAACGTATTCGTAGATATATATCCTGTAAAGAAACGATCACGTATGTGTACCAGGAATCGTGTACAAGAGTGTTCCTAGCAAAAATAGTAATACAGAAACAATTTTCTTTCTCTTTTTTTTTTTTGAGATGGAGTCTCGCTCTGTTGCCCAGGCTGGAATACAGTGGTGCAATGTTGGCTCACTGCAATCTCTGCCTCCTGGTGCACTGTGGCGTGAGCAGGTTAATGGGTGCCACCCAGGCTGGCTGAGCCAGCCTTTCCCCATGCTATGTGGGTGTGGAGGATGAGGAGGCTGCAGGAGGTCAAAAAAAAAAAAAAAAGTTCAAGAAATTCTCATGCCTCAGCTTCCCAAGTAGCTGGGATTACAGGTGACCGCCACCATGCCCAGCTAATTTTTGTATTTTTAATAGAGATGGGGTTTCATCATGTTGGCCAGGCTGATCTTGAACTCCTGGCCTCAAGTGATCTGCCCTCTTCGGCCTCCCAAAGAGCTGGGATTACAGGTGTGAGCCATCATGCCTGGCCAATAGATGAACAATTTTAAAACGTGGAACTAACCCTCATGACAAAGAATAAACAAATTACAGTATACTCATGCAATAAAATTAATGAGCTGTAGCCACGTGCATCAATGTTGGCGTATCTTACATGTATAACATGGAGCTGAAACCCCAGTCTCAGAAGCATATGTGATGTTGGATGTAGCTGATTTAAAGCTTACAACATGAAAAATGAAACTAATTATTGCTTAGGGGTATATACATATGTCATATGGGAGTGACCATAATATGTCATAATATTTAATATTAATATTTAATGTCATATTTAATATTTAATTTAATTTGTCATAATATTAAAAAGCAAAGCCTGGCTAATTTTTGTATTTTTTAGTAGAGATGCAGGGTTTTACTATGTGGGCCAGGCTGGTCTTGAACTCCTGACCTCAGGTGATCCACCGGCCTCAGCCTTTCAAAGTGCTGGGATTACAGGTGTGAGCTACTGCGCCCAGCCCAATATTCTTTTTTTAATTCCATATTTACTGAACACAGTTTTGAAGTAGCATTTTGCAAAATGCTATGTTATGTATGTTTCTATTAAAAATATGAACCCCTGAATTAAAGAACACACAGAAGAAGGGTCTCAAGGCAGGAGCTCTGAAGAGCTAGTCCTGGTGACTCTACATAGTGGAATAAAGAGTAATTATAGTTTCTTCCATAATTAATATGTATCATGTGACTTTTTAAGTTAAAAAAAACTCCAGGTGCTATTACATATTATCATAAAACTTTGGGGAATTATTCCATCAGCCTAAGTTCAAGTTTCCCCGTTTGATCAATTATTTATTCAACAAACATCTTACGGTTGTGTGCTGAGCCCGGCATGAAACTGGGACACAGACAGGTAAGAGACCCGGGTTCATCTAGGAAATGGGATTAGTGATCCCTGCCTCCCCATCAGGCCCCTGCTAGGATAAAGAGATGACCACGTGGGCATGAGGACAGTGCAGGGTAGAGGTCCAGGCAAGGCTCCCAACTGCCCCAAACCAAAAGGAGGTCACCGGTCAGGGAGTGGGAGGCACACAGAGTCATCTAAAATGCGGCTTCAGGTCAGGCGGTTGCTCACACCTGTAATCCCAGCACTTTGGGAGACTGAGGAGTACGGACCACCTGAGGTCAGGAGTTCGAGACCAGCCTGGCCAACATGGTGAAAATCCATTTCTACTAAAAATACGAAAATTAGCTGGCCATGGTGGCATGTGCCTGTAATTCTAGCTACTCAGGAGGCTGAGCCATGAGAGAGAATCGCTTCAACCTGGGAGGTGGAGGTTGCAGTGAGCCAAGGTTGCACCACCGCACTCCAGCCTGGGTGACAGAGCAAGACTGTCTCAAAAAAAAAAAAATTCATCTTCAGACATGCAGTAGCCATCAAAGGGCACTAACTGCTTTATAGAGAAATCAAACTGCATGACTAGGAAGACGCATTCCCCAGCAAGAAGACTTTTCACTTGAAATTGCACTTTTTTTTCCTTTGGAGAGTTTTTCTCATTTAAAATGCCCATGGCATTCCAGTAAAACCTGAGAGCCTGCTCGGGAGGTGAGGACAGGCAACCTCCTGTTGCGTGATGCTTATCTCAGGAGAGCGGGCGCTTTGCAATGCCAACGGCAATGCCACGTAGGAGCCAAGAGTCTCCAGGAGCTGCGGGGGAGAAGAGAGGCAGTGGCTGCAGCTAGATACCCGCATCCTCCCTTGCCACACCCTCTCCCCAAGCTGACCTTTTTAATTTCTTATTCTCTTCCATGCTGCCTTTGAGAAATGAACTCTGGCTAAGGATTACTGGGCGCTAACCAGGCCTGCGTGCGTTGTATTGCATGGCACACCTGCTTACACAGTGCAGATCGTTACATCCCTATCAGGAAGGCACTTTTCTATACCCATTTTACAGATGTGGACATTAAGGCATAGGAGAAGTAAGTAACCTGCTCTTGGCCGGGGGCGAGGGATCACTCACCAGGGGCGGCAGTGGTGGGGGGGCCTTGTCCTGGGCGTTGGCCTTCAGGGGGCTCCATCGGCCCTTGTCCTTCTCCTTGACCTGCATTTTGCTGCTCACCATCCCCATCCTGTTCGAGGCACACAGCAGACGGAGGATATGAGAGCGCAGGGCCTCAGGTCCTCTGCACAGAGGGACTCCCCAGCCCCATCCGGGAGGCTGGCTCCAAAGGTGGGGTGGAAGTGGGAAAGCGAAGACCTCACAGTCAGAACACGGGTACAAGTGGGTGGGTGAGGTCAGTGTGCACCCATCATTTTTCAGGGGTCTATAGAGCAGAAAGCACGGTATTTAGCGCACAGAAATCACCTGGCTGGAGATAACTGCCAGAGACCGCTGGGGTGGATCCCGGTCCTCAGGGGACGGGAGCCTGAGCAGGAGGCCATGTGGTATTCTAGAAAGAGCCTACCGATGTGTCTGGGACTCTCTGGGTTTAGTCTTCACATTGTCATGGGCTGGTGTCACTTGGGAAAGTGACATTTTCTCTCCGGGCCTATCGGCTCTTTGGTAAACAGCAGGGGCTTTGTTAAAACATGACTGAGGCTCTCTTGCGTTCAGATTTGTGGGGGCCACACTATATACATTTACGACAGACTGACAGCACAGGCATCAGGGCCCAGCTGCCGCTTCACAGTAACACGGGGGGGTCTCCTTAAAGGGGGGAAGTTGTGGTCAGATTTTTCCCTTTGGTAAAAAATGTTAGGATGGCAGATGCGGGAAAGACCCTTTTGACGCCACCAACACCACCATGTTGTCACCAGCCTCATTCCAGGGACGATACTTATATATTAAGGAGCTTGCTCAGAGTCAAACAACTGGCTGGTGCAGAGCCAGCTGGCACCCAGTCTGTTTTGAGACCCCTGCACTCCCACGCTTACATCAGCCTCTTCCCAGAGACGCAGACATCACAGAGAGGAAGCACCCAAGTCCCCACACTTGTCGGAAGGCCGTGCTGTTAGTGGTGATTTCCTTTGGATGTACGCACCGTATTTCATCAATTCTAAGATGGACCATTTTCACATTTCAACGTCTCTGAACTGGGAGGCCTCTTATAATGGAGGATGTTTTGCAATACAATTAGTAGCAGCATATTTTTTTCTATTTTAATGATAAACTAAATGCTAGCATTCCTATTCGATTAAATAAAACACAGTCATGTATTTCTCCCAGAGAGTTGAAAGCACCTTCCTCATGTCATTTCTCCTCAAAACCACTTTGAAAAAGAAAATACTGTAATAATTTTTGATACAGGACGGTAAACCACAGAAGCAAAAACTTCACAAATGTGTTTTGTAAAGTATGTCTCGCATACAGAACACACAATACTTTACAGTTTTAAGGGATGACACTTTTTACGTAGAAGAATTTCTTTAGGTAAGCTCAGATCAGCTTTATGTAAGCTCATATCACCACCAAATGAATTACAGTGCCAGGGTTACAAGTATCACTTCGGTTTTCAGAGATTTAGGGTTTCAGAAGTTTGAATAAGAGATTATGGCTGGGCACAGTGGCTTAGGCCTGTAATCCCAGAACTTTGGGAGGCTGAGGTGGGCAGATCCTTGAGGTGAGGAATTCAAGACCAGCCTGGCTAACATGGTAAAACCTCATCTCTAGTAAAAATACAAAAACTGGTGGCACAGGCTTGTAATCCCAGCTAATCGGGAGGCTGAGGCAAGAGAATCACTTGAACGCAGGAAGTGGAGGTTGTAGTGAGCTGAGATTGTGCCAGTGCACTCCAGCTTGGGCAGCAGAGTGAGACTCCATCTTAAAAAAAAAAAGAAAAAAAAAAGAGGAGAGAGATTCTGGGTTTGTAGTTTGTATTGGAATGGCTACTGAATTTTACCAGGTGCCCATTCAGTATCTATCAATATGATACATTTTCACCTTTAATTTGTCAATGTTATAAATTATGTTGGTAAATTTTCTGTTATTGAAACATCCTTGCATTCCTGGAAAAAAAGCTATTTGATTACAGCATATTAGTCTATTCAGCACATGGATGGATTCTTATTTGCTAATTATTTTGTATTATTTTATCTGTTTTGAGACAGTGTCTCACTCTGTTACCTAGGCTAGAGTGCAATGGCTTAATCTTGTCTCACTGCAACCTCTGCCTCCCAGTCTAAGGTGATTCTCCCACCTCAGCCTCCCAAGTAGCCAGGATGATGGGCATGTGCTACCATGCCCTACTAATTTTTTTTGTTATTATTATTTTTTGGTAGAGACAGGGTTTTGCCATGTCACACAGGCTGGTGTCAAACTCCAGAGCTCAAGCTACCCACCCACCTCAGACTCCCAAAGTGCTGAAATTACGGGTGTGAGCCATCATGCTTGGCCCTATTTGCTAATATTTTATTTAGAATCAGAATCTGTATTCCCAAGGAAGATTTGTCTATGAGGCATTAGCATCAAGCTGCACTGGCTTTGTAAGGAGTATCGAGGAGCTCTCTCTTTGTTGTCTTACAGTCTTGAGTGGTTTTATAACATTGGGGTTATCTGTTCTTTACAGGCTAAATAGAAGTCAGCTGTGAAGCCATCTGTGTCTGGGGCCCTTTCAAATAGTAAACCTTTAAAGACATTTCCAATTTCTTCTATAGGAATGATCTATTCTTATTTTTCTCCTTCTTGTGCCATTTTGATGATTTATATGATTTATAGGACATCTTTAACTTCATCTACATTTTCTAATTTGTTGCCATAAAGTTTTATGTAGTATTGTCTGTAATTATTATACTCTGTTCTCTATTTTTTATTGTGATTTTTTCTTCTTTTTAATATGTTGGATGTTATTTAAATTAAAATTATAATTCATAATTGGATAAAATCATCTGAAGCTCTACATGACTAAATTAAGTTTTAACCTAGCTTTCTAATTACGAAATAGAAGATTGTGATCAAAGCAGCATGAAATTGGAATAATAAAAGTAGACAACAATCATCAGAGCAGAATAAAAAACATACAGATTTTGGCGAATACAGGAACTGCATATGTGAAAAAGATAGCATTTTAATTCAGTAGAAAATTGATACTTTATTTTAATAAGTGGTATTGGAAAAATGGCTATTTATCTTAAGGAAAATACAATTGATCCCTGACCTCACACCATATTAAAAATAAATTCTAGGTGTACTGATGGAAAAAAATAAAAAACAAAAATGTGATTAAAAGAAATGTAAGAAACTGTGTACATAACCCAGAGTTTGGAGACAACTACTAGCAAAGATAGAATAGCCAGAAGCTAAGAGAGATAAAAAAATGTACAAATTCATAAACATTAAAAGTATTAGATGGTATAAGAAACTACTCATGAAGTCTGTAGATAAGCAATAGATTGGGTAAGAGATTGCAAAGCATCAGATAAATGTCTATTCAGAATAAATACGAAGCTCATAAAATATTGACAGGAAACATATTGTAGCATATAATCCATTCAATAGAAAAACGTGTAAAGATAAGAAATAAGAAGTTAGTGCAACACATATCCAAATAGTAAAGTGTTTATTATAATTATTGTTTCATTTGTTCCTTCCCACTCCATTTCTAGGATTAATCTTCTGTGAGGGCTAGAATCTTTGTTTTCTTCATTGTTGAATCCAAGTTGCTAAACCAACGTCTGACACAGAGTGTGGGCTTAATAAATGTTTATCAGACAAAACATGAAATTTTATTGGAAGACACAGTCTTTTCAATTCTTTTAGAAGTCAATCTTTTAAATACTGTTAAAAAGGCACACACACCTTTTGATTTTCAGTCCCACTCTGGATTATCTCAAGTTAATAAAACATCATCCTATAGACATATATGAGGGATGAAAATGTTTGTTGTAGCAATAGTTGGAGCAACAATCCCCTCCCCTACAAAAAATCCCAAATAAACAAACGACTCAGCCATTAAAGAATTGTTGAATACATTTACACTCTACAAATCTCTCAAATATCATACAACTACCAAAAAAATGTGCTGAAGCTTCACCTGTGATGTCAAGTGTAATTTCTATACCATGTTGTGACATGAGAAAAGCAAGACGCAAAGAGGTACCGAGGGAATCCCATATTTGCAAACACCAAACAAAAAGAAAAGAAACCCCTACTCAGGTGTGTGCATGTGTTTGCATATTACACAGAGAGAGGCTGGGGAGGCTGAACATCAAGTTGTTTACTGTGGTTATTGCTAAAGGGAGGGAGAGATACAAAACAGAGATGTAATGGGGAAAAAAGCGGACTTAAATAAAATATGTGTTTGCTAATGCAAAGCAGTGCCCTTAAAACATTTTTTCTAAACGGTGAATACTGTTTTATTTTGGATGATAGGACTTCATGTGACTTTGACTTTCTTTCTTGTAGTTGTATATATTTCCTGAATTCTTTAATACTAAGCATATATTACTGACACAAGCAGAAAAATAAAAGGAGGATGTGAGTGATTTGCCTGGCAACAGAGTGGCGTAAGGCCTGGAGCCTGCAGTTCTTAGCAATGACCACTAAGTGGCCAGCCAGGGCTGCCTGAGCCTCAGGCCTTTCCTGGCCTCTCCCAGCCTCCCTGGCTCAACGAAGGGCCGGTGGTCAGCAGCTCCTAGTGCATTCCTCAGACTTGGACTCATACTTCCACACCTGCCCAGGGAACCAGGCTTCTTGTCTTCCTTAGCCCTGCCAGCCATACTGCCACTGACTTTAAGCTTCCTGGCAAAAACCTGTGTCCACTGAAACAACATAATTGAACACTGATTGAACTGGACAGAAAGTAAAATTCCTAAAATTAAATGACCACCTACTTACACTTCTATGTCCTGTGACTCCTTAGCAGTGTGTGCAAGTGATTTCGCATGGCTCTCATGAGTACCTGGGGTCTCTATGGGTCCCCCTGCTCCACTGGCTCTGACTGGCGACCTGGGTTACTCAGGAGGCCATGTGACAACCAAGGCTGACACTGGTGCTCTGGCTGCACCCAGCAGTTTCAGGTTGGGTGGAGCCAGGAAGTGGAGAAGTCCAGACAGAGGCAAAAGGCAGCACACACTGGCCAGGGCCCCAGGTGGCTTTGCTGCATGGGGGGAGGGTGTGAATCTGTGCATGGT